CATTCTCGTATCGCCTGATATGGATGATCAAGAAGTTCTTTAGCATATTGATTTATTGCGCACCATATTGAAGGAATACGCCACTCAAAATTACTTAATAATAGAATAAAATACCATTGCGATGTTTCAAGAAATGTATTTCCCATTGTTTGATTGTTCATTAATGAACGAAGAAATTCAATAGGACGATACATTCGACGTGGATCTTCATCTTCCTATTATCAATAAATAGATAAATACATATGAAATTTAACCATTTGAAACAAACCATTCCATATTTAAAACATGAACCCCAATGTGAAACAGTTTCTACACTAAGATTCGTACAAACTTCATTAAGAAATGGTGTTAATTTTTTCCAAAGTTCATCGAGCTGAAAAAAACAACAAGAATCAATCAAATAAAATTGTTTTCTTTCTAAAATATACCATATCTAAAGTCCAATGTTTTGAACCACGAATCATGCCAGCAACAATTTCAGCTGCTACTCGATGACTACCTTCTTGTTTCTTTGTTTTATCACGAATAAGTATGTATAAATCATCCATAAAACTATCTACTAAAGCCAAACCAAAATTTCGAAAAAGACCCTAATGATATAAACAAACAAATATTAAACTATTTTGATGACATTATTGAGAGTCATGCAAATACGGATACGAAATGTATTCAGAATAAAAATAATAAAGCTTTACCATGTAAACAAACTGATACACAGTACCTGTAGCCTCATGCGCTGGCCTGTACCCAACCACAAGCCAGTAGATACGAGTATAGGAATTGTAAGTTTTCAACGGTATATAATGTATGATGCAAAATTAATGAAACAAACTGTCGAACCTTATATTTCTTCGTAGACACAATTGTGGGAGGAAAATTTATCAATCTATAGAGAATTTTCTCCGCTTTCAAAATGTATATGATTTGTTTTGGTGACATATTTATAAACGAAATGACAAGGGAAAAAAGAGAAATACTCGAACGAGAAATTTTCGATTTTTTCATCGATTTATCAGAGAAAAAGTTCATTATCTATTTTAGGAGCTTTTCTACATTTTCTAACAATGACTGGTATTCATCGATGTGAATTGGGACTAATAGTTGATTGATTGATATTAAAACGTTTAGCGTATTTACGCTGTCTAATATCACAACGATTATTTACAGATTTCAGTAACTATTTTAATTTTTTATTGAAAAGTTTTAATGGACGATCGGTTCTAGGTAAAAATTTTGTTTGTCCATATTTTAAATACTTATTTAGTATATAACAAATCGTTCTTAGAAAGCTTTGTTTTATAAACTAATTAACTATGATTTTGCAATATTTATTTGATGAGTCGATTTAAAAATTGCAAATTCGTTGAGCAAGTACTTCTGTTTCTTTCTTTGTCATTTCGTTTCTAAATATTGCACAAAAACAAATTATACACAGTTCGAGAGAGTGAACAATTTCCTATGAGATAATAAAAAATATCGTTGCAATACGTGTTTAGAGAAAAGCTTTAGTGACAGATATTTTGTGGCGTTATTTTGAAATATCGGGAAAGTGCTGAATTCTTTTTAGGGTGCCTCTCTTTCTTCTGATGCTGTTGTGTTTGTGAGTACGTGACAAAACGAAATTGTATGCAGTTCGAAAGAGGAGAAAACTTCCTATTGATTGACAAAAAGAATTTCCTTCCACAACTATGTATATGAAGAAATATGAGGGTTGACATTTTCTGAAATTACTTTTGTATCAAATGTTATCTTATTATTGAAGTATTATCATGTATCAGGATGTACTCAAGTACATAGGAGTAGTAGTAATATGAAGCCTGAAAGTTACATTCAGGTTTTAAGAAGGACGTTTTGGACATTTCAGATAGACACCTTATACTTTTGTTCAGCTGGTACCTTTAGTGAGCAAATTGAGCTTTCAAGTTGAACATACACGAAGAGTACGTGAATTCTAACATTGTAGTTGCTTAGAAATATATATGTGATTATGGTAGCACACGTACTCGAGTATATAACAGTGCATGAGAATATACATGTATCAAGGGAGGCCAGTACAATTCGTACCCGTGTTGAGGCATATCTGACATTATCTATTCACTTACTTTAAACATTCGAAATCGATAAAAATCAAAATTGATCCCTCCTCCTTCTTCATCCAAAATCATAAATTGAATAAATTTATTAATAAAACTTTTATCAATAAATCTTTCATATAAAACTGCAACATCTTCTGGCATATTTTCTTTTGTATATCGTTCACGTTTATTCATTGGATATTTAATTATTTTTGGCCATTTATAATAACCATGAAAACTTTTATCCAAAAAACATGTTTCTTCCCATTCATTTTGTGTTTTAGGTGGTTTATAATCATTAATTGTTATCCATAAATTATCATCACGATCACCTGGATGACATTGATCAACATTAACTGGACGTTGAAGAATTTCATCAAGTGTTTTTTCAAGATAAATTCGAGGTGGTTTTTGTATACGACAAAATGTTGCAATACCTTTTTCAGCAATCTGTATAAATAAATGAAATGTTTATGATGTTTTCTTGAAGTAATTGAAAGGAAAAACAAAATAAACAACCTTTCGTAATACAATATCATCATGAATAAGAAAATCAACAAATGTTCGAATACATGATGAAGGTATTGGAATACGATTTTGTAGAAGGAAAAATATAAATGTCATGGCCATTTCTTGTTGTCGCCAAGTCCTGAAATTTTGAAATAAAGGAACTAAGTTCTTTTAGTACAATCCCTGCAGATTTACAATATAAAACACAATGTAATTGTTATTGCTAATCATAGAGGATAGAATCTTCAACATCCTTTTACGTAATCGTTCAAAAATATAATAAGAAAGAAGTTCATATATTAGAATGAGACGTTATTGATATGCGGTCCATGATGACGGAGAGATGTTGCGATGTGTCGTCGCTTTACACATCACATAGGTTCTAATGAGCTATGGATACCTTGAAAAAAGTGTGAATTCCTAACTAATTACTAATGAGATACTGTATTTTCTATCAAAATGCCATGGTTCCCTCAGGAATACCAGGAAAACTGAGTATCAAGTTTTCACTTAAAACTTTGCATAAAGAGAGGCCTTAACAAGAATACTTTACTGTGAAAATGTCTGATTTGTTTGTTGCATACATCCTGAAATAAGAGTAGGCTGCATTTGTCGTTAGGTATTAATAGCATGAAAAACATGCTTCTATCATAGTCGTATTATAGGATAGAAGTAATGAAAAGATGTGAAACTTATAATAAACTATTCCCATTAATGAGGGAACCTCCCCAGGTTCTAATACGTTTTTGAGCTTAAATTTTGCCTACGGGTAGGGGATATATAGACTACTAAAAACCCTAAGAGGGGGATACGGATCCAAGTTGCGATTTGCTGAGATGTCGACTTTTTACTGCTATCTCCCTATAGGACTTGGCTTTCTCGGTAAAAGCAAAGTTTCGAATCTTGATCTCAAACTTTACATACATCGAGGTCTCAATTAGAGTAGCTTGTCTACAAGGTTTCAGAATTTCTGAATGAATTATCTCCGAGATATGGATTTTTCAAAAATATTCGTGCATAATACCATATTTATAAAACGTTTCTATAAGCTAAAATAGTGGTATCTCAGAAATAATTGAGTAAGAAATTCGGAACCTTTGTAGGCAAGCTACTCTGATTGAGAACTCAATGTATGTAAAGTTTCAAGCCAATACTGAAAACTATGGCTTTACCGAAAAGTCGATTCCTGTATGAAGATTCTGGTAAAAAAGTTGATATCTCAGCCAAATCGCAACGCGGATCCGCATCCTCTTAGCACTTTTCTAATCTATACATATCTTACTTATGGCAAAATTTGAGCTTAAAAGCTTTCTAGCACCTGAAGAAATTCCCTCATAAGCTCTGTCTCTATAAAAAGTTTCAAACAAATATGTGAAACTCAAGTTCCCTAATGCTCTTGAGAATGACCACTGCATTCTACTAAAAAATACTATATCTTAGTAGCAATAACCTATCAGCTCGAACTCTTTTGAGGGCATTCATATCTCGTTACAACCTACATAATGTACCCAGTTCAATGTCAAAAACGATTTGGTACTTGAAAATGTTTCTTCTTAAAGTGTCTGTGACACTCTGTCGATTCTGGTTGTAGGGGAAATTCAAATTTCTATTCTATATACTTCGACACTCGTTTTAGATCATGTTTCACAAAAAAATGGCTTACAATAGATGGTTATAAAATAATGAATTTAATGTTTCCATAAGGTTATTATATGATTGAATATTTGCTTGATTTCGTTCTTCACGCATTTGATCTCGTGATACTAATTCATTAGTGTCTAAAGGTTTCCATAGTTCAATTGCTGTTTTGATTGATACATCATTAGTATCTTCAATAATAGCTGGACTATCGAATCGTTTAACAACATTTTCCATAATATTATCAATTAATTCTTGTGTACTAATTTTAGTTGCATGCATTGTACGTGTAAGTGATGGCCATAATCTTTCAAGTAATGTCCATGAATGTTTTGTTGGTATAAAGATTGAATCATTTCCAAGAAGAATATAAAGACAACCTTTTATTTGATCATGATCAGCTTCACCTGGATTATCAAGTAATTCTAGAATACGATTAACGATAACTTGATATGAAAAAAGATAACGTTGTAAAATATAAAATAAATAAACTTGTGCATTGCGACGAACCTAGATGAGACAAACAATAAAGAAAGATTATGATTTGTCGAAAGAATAATTAGTTTTTGACTTACTTCACTGTATCGATGAATTGATAATTCAAATAATTTAAGTATGACTTGTCTATCAATTTCAGTTAAACTTTGATAATTACTGATAGAGAATAACTATTGAAAAGAAGAAAAAAAACAATCCATAATAGTTTGGTTCCCTTTTTTTAAGAATTAATTAATTTACTTCGAGTTGTAATCCAATTCGTTTAATGATAAGAAACCGAGGATGTTTTCGTTTACCGGATAGCTTATTTTTGTATAAATATTTAACAATTTCAAGATCATTAAATAAAGTGTCTATATAATTTTCAAATGCACCGAAATAGACTGATGTCAATGAATAAATCTATAAAGCATAACAAGAATTTTAAGTAGAAAAATAAAGATTAAATAATGTACTTTTAAGACAGTGTTTATAGATGATGCATCATCTGGATGATTTTCAACAAGAACATCTAAAGAAAGATGATTTATTAAAATTTCATTTATTTTATTCATAAATATTTACCAACTAATTTTCCAATATCATTTAATAGACGTATTCGTAAATTTTCTCTGAATTCTAAAACATAAATAAATAATACAATTATTCAAAAATTTACTCTTAGTTTTAGTATCATACGTGGTTGTTTAGCATAAAGCGTATATCTAGCTCGATATTTTGTATCAAATGAGACTACGGATGGTACTCTATGAAAAATTTATTGATATTATTTTCAATTGAAGATATTATTCTATATTGACTTACAGATCTGATACTTCTT